TCATGCGCAGTGGCCAACCTGTATGTGGACAATGAAAGGGCAAAGGCTCGTAACTTGGCCCAGCAGTTCATACATGATCCATCATGATCCTTTTTTCAGAAGCAGTGCTTTTGATCTGTTTTGAGCAAGCTTTGTTGCTAGAAACTCTTGGAAAGAAGATGAAAGAAGATTGATTGAGTTTCTTCCTGTGAGTTTAACTCTCCAATTTGGACATATACGACACAAACACAATCTCAGAGAGGAATTGATCGTGGGACCACCAAGAACTGGTCCTGGATCTCCCTCAAATTTGGTATTGCAACGAGGGACGAGCTAACAATTGAAGGTTTTAATATGATGGTTACGTATGGTTTAATCATTTCAAATCATGTTCTTAGAACACGTTCTTGTTGAGAAAAGAAACCTTCCGCAAAAACGTCGCTGTTCCACGGCGTTGGTGGTTTCGACGCGTTCGACTGGCAGGGTATCAACCGGCGATGTATCCGAGCTCCGGAACGCCCATGCCGATGCAGATGCCTTTCTTTGGGCGCCTTTACCAGGCAGAGATGGTGGTGCCGTCGAAAACCGGTGCTGGTGGTCTTGGTAGAAGTTTGAAAGGATGAGTGGATGACACTGTGTAAGAAGCCCACGCCCGGGTCGGTGGTTCAGGGATTTCACGGCAAACTGAGAATCCATTTTTCCGGAGTCCAACGGAGGAGAATTTTTAGATCAGAACTAGGCAGGCCAGGAAGATTTGAGGTGGAACTCTGATTCTGATAATGCAATATTGAGTCAAAAGGAGATCCAGGAAAAATAGGTTGGAGGCCATTGCAAAATGACTCTGTCTGAAGATGTCTTTTTCGGAGCCAGGCGTCAGAGCATGTGGTGCCACCCGAGGACCCGGAACCGGATGATCGGTCGGGTCGGTGTCCGGTGGGAAAGAGGAAACATGACAGAACTTGGACCATTAAAGGAAAACACAGGAAAACGGTCATCTCACTAGTGCTGTTTGCAAGGTTTGTCTTTTTGTGATCATCAAAGATCCACACAAAAGTTTTGAATGCACCATTCCACAGGAAGACTTCCATGCTGAACTGCCTTTCTCCATCGATGTACCTGCTGGCATACACTTGTGACAGTATTTGTGAGCTATGAACATTGAACAAGTCGACAACATTGACCGGAACCCGCGATGTGAAACTGGCTGTTTCACATGCTACACGTGCCTTTCGGGTCTTCCTTCCGGCCATCGATGGAGGACCATTCACCGGTCCTGCTAGGCGACGGATTGTTTGAGCGGGGCAGAACTCCGCATCGGCTTTGGATTGCTTGGGTTTGCAATCATGTTGCACTAGTACTATCTGGGTTTGACCTGGTTTGACAAATCTTTCTTTTGTGTTTGAAATGATGGAATGACCCTGATTTGGAAACAGATTCAGATGGATCAGATGGGTGGCACAGAACAATCAGCGGGTTCAAATCATGTTTACTTGGCCGACTCGGGTGTTCAGGGGATACATTATGATACATATATTGACACATTATGATACATGATATGTGTTGAGGCATCCCCAAATCTCAAAACTACAGCAACTTCAGGATGGAATCGTGAGGGACTTGAATCCCAGGGCCACAGGGTGTTCTTTTCAGTATTAGCATTGGTCAAATCAGGACTATTGACCATCGAGTCAGATTCATGCTCGAACGCAGCCATTTTCAGAGTTTGAGTGGTCACATGGGGGTACTAGTACCAGCGGAATCCAGGCGTTTGATTGGAGCTCCACTCCTCCTGAATCCTGAGCAAAGATTTAGTTCTATGATGTTCTATGCTGTTTACATTTTAAACATATCGCTGCAACCTTGATGGCCTACTTGTCTGGTAGAGACCTGATGTTGATCATGTGCTAGTTGCATTCCAGCTGCCCCATCCATAGGTGTCCCTGCTTTTTCTGGTGTTTGTTTCTTTTTTCTTGATCGGATCATGTTGGCTCAGCGTATCTCAGCTATATTTGATCGGGACAGATGGTGATTTTGCGGGGATTCTCCAGATCTCGAGAAGGAAGCAGTGCTATTTGGGCATTTGAGGTCTCCTCCATTAGTCGAGGCCATTGTTCACTTCCATGACTTCCATGACTTTGATTTGTATTTTTTTTGGTAAGTGTTGGGGTTTGGAGCAATCCACGATGCGGATGGTTTCCTGCTTCCACGCCGCCTTCGTTTTTTTCAATCCCCACGAGGCCTTGGGTCCTTCGCGTGCGCATTCCTCGCACTCGTGGGTTTGATGACCCGGCGGTGTGGGTTTCGCCAGGCGAGGAACTTCGATGTCGTGAGATCCAAACCGTTTTCTTTTTTTTGGGGATCGTGAGGGTCAAGAGCTGTTTGTGTTGGTGCATGGGTCACATCTTATACATACACATACCACCATCCGGCCACTGGGTCACCTGGCTGGACTACCCTCCGCTACTATCCGGGATCGAACACGACAGGACACCCAGACAGGATGGTCCATGGGTATATATAGTTCGAGAACGTTCTTTGGTCCAGCTCTTCGTGACGATTCCAACCAGCTCTTGGAGCACTCACCGACCACACAAAGCCACGGCTGTGAGGCTTCACACCACTATCGCGTTTTGAGCTCAGAAGCTGTCGATGAGGAGAACTCGGACTCTGGAGACCGGGAACCACACGTCCACTTTTGGCATGCGGCGACCACCGACCGGCGACAGAAAATAAGAAATGAAACGCCACCAGATTGATGAAAGCTACCAAGGTTGATAATTACTTCCTTGTGGCATTCTCAAGCACACCAGAATCTAGATGCTAAACATGAGGATTCCATGAAATCGACGGGGTCGGTCATGGTCGGTCGCTGGATTTCCCTCAAATCTTTTTGCGGAATCCTCTTCCCTGCGCGACCACAGTTCACGCATGATCACGCCTCAGAAACTTCCATGTGTTTATCTACATGTGTTTACAGTGCTCAACGGGCGGTTGTTTTACCTCCTTTTCTTGAAACATCGTATTCACATTTATTCACAGTCTTGTTCAGATGTGCTTTACGGGTCGTCGTCTCCTCCACATTCACAGGACGTGGCCCTGTCAGATTCGTAGCCGCGTAGTCCAGCAAAAGCCTGGCTGTGGAGGCAGGGCCTTCCGAAAAGGACACATTGCTCACCACGTGTGTTGGATTGTTCACCTGGGATTGCTCAAGCGATTTTTCGAGCTTTCCCAATGTGGGGATAGACTGGGATTTGCATAGAGGCAAACACTTACTTATTACTCTAATACTTACCATACTTTTTGTCAATGTCATTCTCTCTCTCTCTCTCTACTAGTGGGTCCTTTGAGCGAATCCATGTGTACCTCAAGGAGTTGGAAGATTTTGGATTTGCGAAGGACGAGACATTTGGATTCTTGTGGATTCACTCCATGTTCACGAGGCAATGATCTTTTTGATATATACAGTATACAGGTGATGCACAGTGTGTACATAATATACATATTACATCATATTACACTTTTTTGAACATATTATATTGGAGTATTTTGTAATGTCATGCATTCTCCGTCAGCGCGGACGTTGACTCAGCTTGGTCATTTGGCAGGGTTGGACGCCGTGTGAAGACAGTTGGGAGATGGGAGTCTAGACAAAGGAAGAACAACATCGCTACTAGTAACAAGAAGCTACTACTGTAGTAACAAGGAAAGCTCTTATTTGTTTCCTTACGCACATCTTCTTTGTCATCGCAGAGACGACCCCAGAGGTACGGCGGATGAAAGACTCTCCTTGCACCATTTGGGAGGCCAAATACATCATCCCCGCATTTCCCGAACACATACTAGTAGCTAGAAGCTATTGGGTTAGAGGCCATCGCTAGTTGCTTGGAGGCCATTACTAGTAGCTAGAAGCTGTGAGCAGCTATAGCAACGTGTTTTTTCATATGTTTGGTCCAAGACTTGTCATCTCGCTGGGAGGCCATTCCCAAGATGGGAACTGCCTGACATCCGTCGGCCGCTCTGCATGCAAAAGGAGCTGTGCTCCGTGCGTTCGGTCTTGAAGCTCCAGGGTGGCGGAACCACGTTTTGGATGTTTCGGAGAAAAGGAAGGCGACCAGAGGTTCTATAGGGTGCTTTAGCGGTGGGCGTGTGGGCGTTCTTAGTATTAGTTTACCCAGATAATGTGTGGGATAAGATGGGATAAGCGCTCCCAATATCCCTGATGTCTGATCCATTTCGCAAGACCTTGCTTCTTCCGAGCAATGGATGTCGTTCTCTGTTCATCTCTGTTCAGCACGTTGAAGCATGGATGCACTGTGATCACCAGTCTGAAATCGTGGATTGATCATGTCAGAGTTATGCAAGCCGTTCCAACAATGATACCCTAGGGCAGCAGTTGCAAAGGAATGTGTTTGTTTTCACTTTATATTGATACTCATAGTCTTAGTGATTCTTAGTGCGTTCATTTTCTGAATTTAGAGCAGTTCTTTGCAGATATCAAATTTGACTATTTCAAGGTAGTTGTTGTATATCGATGTATGATTCATCAACATAGAGTCAATCCATGCAAGGACTTGCATTTTGTATGCAAATCACAGCAAGTTGGGAATCCTTTACCAGTAGAGGGTTTAAGGGTCTGGTTTTTGACACACAGAAAGGATGTCTGGATGTGAAAGGATGAGACAGTGTGGAGATCCACCTCACCGCCTCACCGCTGCTTGTGTGCAAGCTCTTCTAGAGCACGGAGTCAAACAAAGACCTGCCAGGGGTAGAGTATATCAGATCATGCTGCACATGAAGCTTCAGCAAGGTGCAGGGCTTCTGCACTTTAGTGACGAGAACGCTTCATGAAGTGGATGGAGCGGAGTACCTCGACATGCCTGATCACACTCACGCCCAACATGCATGGAAATGAAGGGCGCAAGGCTACTATAGGGAAATTACAACACTGAAGTCACTGTATAGAAACAACACATGTTACATATCCTTGTTGTTTTCCTTGTCGAACTGATTTTGTCTTAGCAACCTCACTGATTAGTGAAACGCACCGCTGCGGTCTGGACCCGCTCGCCATGCCGGTGCCCCAAGATGTCTCGCTGACCGAGAAGGTGGAAGGTGTCGTCGGAGGCGTGGGGAGAAGACGAGTCCACCCGAGTCCGCCGGTGTGATGCTTTGTCCGTTGGCGGACGTAGGGAGAAACACAAGCTTGGATATACTCAAAAGTGAATGAAGCACTATCCCTATAAGTAGTGGTGGACTATGGTTTTGTTGGACTGTTCCTTGTAGAACCGTGTTGCTGTGTTGCTGTACCCCGGTGAGAAAGAGTTGCCTGATGTTTCTGGGTGATGCTTTCGGCTGGGAAACCCGCTTCGATGGTTCAGGGGTCATCGGTTTTCACAGCCTCCTTCGATAGCAGATCCCTGCAGCGAACTCGGAGTGAGAGATCGAAATCCCGGAATTGTGGGTCCCATTCCATCAGAATGAAATGAAATAGACGCACCTTGGGAGATTCTGAAATAGAGTACTACTTGGGAGCTGATCTAAAGGTGCGTCTAAGGGGGGTCAAAAAGAACACGACCTGTCAAATGCTGTCCAAACCATCCGTGAAAGATCCGCGAAGAGGGTCCCGAGTCGCGAACGTATTTCTTTTTTTTTGCGTATAGATGATGACGAACTGCCAGCGCAATGCCCTGGGAGCTGCCATAGTGCCGCGCCACCTGAGTAACGTGGAAAAACAGAAGGCCTCAGTGGGTCTCCCCCTCGGGGGGGGAGAGAAAACCAAGGCACGTTATGCAAACGTCAAGATCACACCTGGGTAAGGCATGAAAAAGAATTCAGGTCAACAAGGTCGTGTGACTGGGCATCAAGGAATCACACTGCATCTGCGATTCCACCTTCGTTTCCTGCATGTTCGTTAAAAAACAGGAAAGGCAACAAACAAACGGGGTTTCTAGAAAAGACCAGATCGACCTCCACACCACAAGCCGATGGCCTGTCATTGGCGAGGAGACATGCAACCCAGTCGTTTCATGTAGACACCAAGTCAACAATTAGTTATATCGATCGTCCCCATTCTTTTTTGCAGGCGGTTAACGCAGCTATGCGCTGTCACTTGTGGTCTAGGTGCCTCAGAGCACTCCCAGGCACAATGGTGCCACGTAGCAACCACCGACTTTTTGCACCATGGGCAGGTGAGGCTCGTGGAAGGGTTCGACTCAAGGCTGCAGGGCTCACCTGTGCTCCTGTCACCGCCAGGGAGTGAGAGTCCCGGTCCAAACGCAGCTCACGGAGCCATCGAGAGTTGCAAGTCCAGTGCACTCTTGACTATCCCGGCCTGCCCTAAGCCACTTGTGAAAACATGTGTGTCTCCACGACTCTCTCAAGTGCCTTACTGCTTGAAGATCAACGCGCCAACCAACATCGTCAGCACGAAGGGAGAGAGTTTCTTGTAGGCCACCATGTGCCCAAGTCCATGATGATTGCTCATGCCAGCCTAAATCAGCCATAGTTCGCCGCAACGCACCTTGCCAGCTTGTCTTTGTGACTGGCCAATCAGGGAGGTGAAAGTTCCTTCGTGACACCAGTCTGTGGATGATGTGCGTATAGATGATGACGAACTGCCAGCGCAATGCCCTGGGAGCTGCCATAGTGCCGCGCCACCTGAGTGACGCAGAGAAACAGAAGGCCTCAGTGGGTCACCCCCTCGGGGGGGAGAGAAAACCAAGGCACGTTATGGCACGTTAATCGAAGGTCTTCGCTTTCATATTAATTATATGTCCTTTCTACTGACGTATGGTAGAAATATAAGGCAATCCTCCAGCAGAGCCGGTGGGCCGAAGTATTCCCACATGTCCCCTCTGAAGCCTCAACGTTTCCTTATGTTTCCTTGCCCTCGCAGTGCGTAAAGGGTTCTTCGATTCCCGTCCCCGCTGTCACAGACTAACAACCTTTCAACGTAACTTGTGCTGACAGTGCGTACAGGATTGTCTTTCCCCAAGTTAGCTCACAAACTGCAACTGCATCACCCTATCAACGGCCGACAGCTCTGACGAGCTGTGCAGATGCTTGTGCCTTTTAGGGGAAATCACCAATGTGCCGTTGAAGTCCAGGTTTCAATCTTGAGTCCCCCAACATGCCCCAAGCTGCATCACTCTGTGTTGGTACTAGTAGCTGGCACGAGGGTTGAATTGCAGTTGTGCCTGGACCCAGCACACTGTTTGTCGCATAGGTGCTGCAAGTGACCCTGAGTAGCTGGAGACACTCTCAACCTTGCTTGTAGGTCATGCTACAAGATGTCAGTCACCATTTTTGATACACATTTTACATGTGAACTAGATATGAGTCTACACCAGATATGGTTTTAGGACTATGCTTCGCGATGGGGCCTCGAAAGATCCGCAAAAGATATCCTATGTTTCGCGAAGAATGGCCATTCGATCATGAAACAATGTTGATCCGCCACCACTTGTATTCTTACTGTCTTTGACTGAGTGCTGGCAGAGTGGAAACAGGCCACAAAGTTGCCAGAGTGTCAATTGCCCTATTCCACTGCTTTTCAAAAAGATAAGAAGTTGAAACATCTTGCAGCATGTGGGTTGCACGGTTCTCGGCCACACTCACATCATCCGATCTTATCAGGAGTCAGGAGCAATGCGGATTCATTTACCCCTTCATCCTCCTTCCATTCCAGGCACCCCAGTGGATGAGGAGCTAGAGCGGATCCTAAAGGCAGTGGGGTTGGTTTTGTCCAGAGGCGCTGATGGCGTCAGAGTCAAAAGCAGGGAAGAGGTGCCCCCCTTTGAAGACTCGTTGCATGGATTCTAATCTTAGGTGCATGTGTTGGTTCTCCGGTTCTCTCCATCAGGGAGGTGAAAAGAGGGGGGGGTTGAAGAAGTAGGACCCTAAGTAAGATCATAAGTTGATGTGTCCAACTGTTCAACTAGTGTTCAGTCACTTCTTTGTTTTTTGTTGTGGCCGCTTGAAGTAATGGCAGGCCCAAGATGAACCCAGATAACCCAAACCACCAAAAGTAGCACAGCTCAGTGAATAGCAACATTTGCGACCTCAGAGGTTGCGCTTGTTTGAACATGTTTGAACCGCCAGTGGTGGATTTGGTTTCCCTTTTTGGAGAATCGATCAACACGCCTGAGCAACAGAGCGGTCCTACTACTAGGTTGGATGTTAGATGTTCCCAGCAACCAGGGCGTTTTTTTTGCGCAATACTATGTGTGTTCTTCATAGTCCCAAACTGAGACTTGCACATGCTGAAGCGCATGTGGGCTGCGGAGTAGGCTCCAGGACCGGAATGTTCGGGGCAGAGACACCGAGCCACGTTTAACATCTTTTAACCGCGTAGGGATCCGCAACTTCGCAGCACTTTTCATGAGGCACGGCTGGTGGAATTGGCCGTGATGCAGCAGAGGAAACTGATGTTGTCCTTGGAGCAGACTCTTGGATTTGGCAGATTGAGTAACGCCGATCCTGGGAATCCTTTTGAACATGCATCCGGAGGTGGTGTGGAGTCTTCAGGATGGCCAAGTATGCAAGACTTCAGGTCTGAACAGTCGACACAGCTCCAAGCATGCAGGATCATGCAAGATCATGCAAGTATGCTTGATGTTAAGTCTTGGTACAGGAAAATGGATGAAACTGGTATGTATCACTCTTCGTGTGTCACTTCAGCATATGCTCATTTCGAAGGGAGCTTCATGACGTCCAGTCCGTCCGTCGCCTTGCTGAGTGTGTCACTTCAATCCGTTTTCTCCTCTCTTCGATTGGTCAACCCAACGACTGAGGAGTCGAAGAGAAATCCTGGAGACCGTCTCCGAGTGCTTGGCCAAGGTGGGTCCCGGGAGGTGGAGAGCGCAGCGGCCGCGGGACGGGGCAGGCGGGTCATACAGGTTCATACGCAAGTGAATACAGGTTCAGTTGGTCAACAGGTTCAACAGGTTCGTTGCAAGATTGGATAGAATCTGGATCATTGGATCTCCAGATTCATCCAGATGCCTTTCGCACTAGGACACCTGCAGTACCACCTGAAAAGCACACTCGTTTACAGAACACAGTCTAGATAGATTGGACCCAACTTTTGTGAGCTTTTGTGGAGCAGCAATGTGTAGCTCGCAACCACTAGAGGGGTACTAACAAAACACCCTCAAATGTTTGAAGTTTCGTGGTCTACCTCAAGTAGGCTCTGTTTGTGATCACTCAAAACCACGCGTGACGTGGTATAGTTATTTATCACCCAAGATGAATGGATGGTTGGGCAGGGACATTTTGGGATTTGAAACATGTACGTACATAGGTGTTAACTCCTGATCTTGATGATATTTCATAACACTTCCCTTCTCTGTCCATGTCCTTGGTAGCATGGCAGGAACTCAGATGAACCACTCGACTCTCTAACGTTTGTGCGAAAAAGAGAAGTGGGGTGAGTTATCCTCATGTTTCAAAAGGTATCAAAAGGTTAATAGCCACACTTCTGAGAAGAGAACGTTGTTTTTTTCTTACCGGGTCTTATAACATCCATGTGGATCAGAATTAGGAAGTCCAGCCAGTTTGGGACGGTCAATTATCATCACCCTCTTTGACATTTATGACAAGTAAACAGCTTGCGAGATTCTGCTGGAAAGGCTTGTCAATTTGGAAATGTCTCAAGAAGAAACATGTTTGTCCTAGTGGTGTATACCGTATACCTATGTAAATCTATTATATGTGAGTTTGCTTCCAGTCCACATTGCCATCGAATCCATCCACGTGTTCTCAGCATTATATATTGTATTATATAATATAGTTTTGAATTTGTATTGTTAAAGGTGATTTTAGTGTACTGTATCTAATAATATGTGCATGGTATATAGTATAATCATCCTGGAGCAGAGGTTGAATACGATGCAGTGGTGCTTTGGTCCTACGAATGAACATAGTGTACCAATATCCACAATACATCCTTTCAATTATCGCTTCTACTATTATCTACTGCACAATTTCCACCACATCATTGACAATCACAGCTAGGATGGAAGAACCTCATCACCCATTCGTTTAGAAACCCATAACCCCAATGCAGCAAGTAGTTCCAACTATAACGTGATACCTTGATGGTCAAATAGCTCCTTAATCGATTTTCAGGCGCGTGGTGAGGAGGAGGCGCGGTTCGATTTCTCGAGATGTTGCGAGGTCATTTTTTGTTTGCAGTCGGCAGCTCTAAGTGCCCACACAAGTTCTTGGTTCATGGACATGATTCTGCAATGCAAAAACAACACCTAAGAGTCACTCCATCTACAGTAGTTCTGGTGGTGGTACAGCTAACTTGCATTTGATTCCTCCGAGCGGCCAAGCTGCTGAATTGGTCATGTCTCGACACCGTTACCTGTGGTTTCAGAGTATATGGCACATACCGCAAGATGTCCTTTAGCTAAACCACCCAACTTGGACATTTGTGCCATCTACTCTCAACCCACTATACAGTATAGCCCCCCCAAATAGATAGAAATGTCGATCCCCACTAAAAATGTATTGGATACCGTTTCTATCTATTGGGGGACCACTATATATGTTGTTTGCCACAGCATGTTTGTTGGGTTCAGTCTTTTAGCGTCGCAGCTACCCGGTCACTGCATCAGGCCCGAATGGGTTGTCACTCAGATCAAACACGGACGGGCCTTGAGAACTGTCCAACGCGAACTTTGTGCACGTTGAACAGTTTTGGGCATGTGAGCATTGGACAAGCACAAAAATGTACTGATTTCAACATTGCCAGTACAATTAATAGGAAGGATTTCATTAACAGATTTGGCCCGTAGTTCATGCGCACAAGGTTGATTGATCAGGGATATGACGTGTAGGCTTTAAAGGCAAGCACCAGGAGGGCTTAGAGGCCTATGATTTAAGACCTGAAACCTGAGTTCATGCTTCCGATGGCTTGAAAGAAATGGCAACTGAGTAGTATGAACACGTCTTTGATGATCTTGAAATTGCTGCTGTACATGCTTACCGCATGCTTACCGCAGGCGGAGGTCTCTGGTGCGCGGACAGAAAGAGGCGCGATGTTTATATCATCAATTTGCTTCAGGGTGACAACAATTGCTTTATTTGTTGCTTGATTTCACTGTTTGCAAAAACCAAGACCATCCTGTACCCGTGACAGGGAGCGTGAAAGCTATTATAAGCTGTTATAAGTGAATTCTGAATTTGAGGTTATTGGCGCGTATTCATGCTCAGCATTTTCTGATGTAAAATGAGCATCTCACACGAGATTCATACGGCAGTAGCACAAACCATGCATTTGGCGTTTGTTGCAAACATTGGGGAATTGGATAGGATGCAAAGGGGTCAAAGGCCTTTACAGATGCATCATCTTCTTTGTGCTAGTCAAGCAGGATCCTTCTTTTGATCCTGAATAAAGGAGTGTTTTCTCGTTGTTTCTACGTTGCACGCATGTTATTTTGCTCTTCTTTGGCGGAAGGCTTTTTTCGTCCCACTACTCCCAGTACCCAAAATCAATCAAGCCTCGCACAATGCAGGTGTTAGTTGGGCTGGACACTTGCTTGCAGCTGTCAAGCCGATCCTACGAAAATTGCAAAACCGTCCTATAGCGATCATGGCCCTCCCTAGAGTGTCTTCCCAGTGTGCTCCATGAGGACTATGTGTGTGTGTGTGTGTCATTCAGGCTTGTTCAACCGGCATTGATAGCAGTCGGATGCAGTCGGAGACTTTCTGTTGATTCTGACAATGTCATGACATGGTAATTGAGGTTTGATTCACATGCCTAGGGGAAGACGACTGTCCCAATCACACAGTGCAATCAACGAGAACCTCTAACCTTTGCGTTTCGTCAATGGTGCGGGAGAGAGGGCCAGCAACTGCGCAGAATTGCGGGGGGGATGGGATTTTCACACTGGTTTTCACTTGTTTCTCACAGACAAGGGCACAGTGGGAGATTGATGTGGTTTCGAGATTCTAACCCTTGGACCCAGCAAGTAGATGTTGAGACACCTTGTTCAACGGACCCCCCAGGCCTGCTGAGGATCATCAAAGTCGAAAGCCTTCCCCGAAAACACTCGTGGGACGTGGTGTTTCTTGCTCCAACAAGGATTCAGCGGTCCGTTCTCGCAGCCTGAGGAATCAATCACGCCATATCTGAGTGGGATGTCCAGGACTGGGTCTGATGATCATTGCTCCTAAAATGTCTTGACACTCACACACACATAATAGATGTCCCCCTCCCCCGAGATGCCTTCATCAAACCTAAACCAACATCATCAACCATCAGCATAGTGAACAAATCTGTGTGATCATTTCTACCAAATCGCTGCAGTCTTCTGCAATCTCATGCAGCACCGCACCTGCGCTTCCTCCAGGAGCTCGACCCAAGGGACTCGGTCTACGACACGCAAGATCTGGAGGTCCCAGAAGCGGAATCGCTCCACTCACCTCGCTTACTACTAAAGGGGCCCATCTCGTTTCCTGCGTCACCGGTCCCACGGGGGCGTGACCGTTGTGACCTGTGCACGACCTGTCGGACTCTTCTGGTCCAGGGGAGTGGGTGCGGAAGGAACGCTGTTTTTGGGGCGGCGGCGGCGGTCCAGCCGCGGTGCCAGGACTTGGCGGCGGTTGGAAAGGTGGATACCTCGAACTGCTACCAGTGGCTCCGTTCCTCGGTCCAGATGTCGGTGACGAAGAGTGATACGCGAAGAAGACGAAGAGTGATGCGCGTCGCGCAGAAAGGAGTGATACGGAGTGATGCGCGTTTCAAAGGTGTGAGCGTTTTTGGGGGGTCCCTCCTTGGTTTGAGGCACCTCAGTTGGCAGGTTTGCAGAGAAACGATGGAGGGTTGAAGTCACAAGCATGGTCAAGACTCGTGAAGACAAAGGTGGGGCTGTATGCACGATCCACGTTGAAATCTCACTTGTAGGTGATTGCTTAGGAATGCAATGATTTCTGAAGGTTTTCCGCGGTTTTTCAATCCCTTGGAACAAATACGGAGAGTGGTAGGATACCTATAGGTGCCTTTCCTGTTTTGTCAAGGAAATTCCAGACCCGGACATACCCGTTACTTCTTTGGCGCGCATGTTGTCGTGCTTCACCAATGAGACAATCGCAGAGGAACTCATCAACCAGTTTCCTTCGTGTAAACCTTTGGGACTCAAGATGACTGAAGCGACCTTTTCAGAACCAAACGTATCAGCAGAGTCACTTTGAAGAGTTTGGAACCATCATGAGCAGGCACAGCTGCCAACCGTTGGTCCCTGGGCGGCTAAGGCCTCAAGCTTGCAAAGATCGAACACAGGCTGAGCGAAAATTGCGGTTGCTTCATCCCAAGCAAACTGCTTTTTGCAGATTGCCCAAGATTGGGCTTGTCAAATATATGTCAAATGTGTGAAACTAACCCAACCATGATGAAGGATCACCAACCCAATTGTTTTCACATTTGTATCAATGACCAGACATTGCCAATATGGCTAAGTACAAGGGAGGGCTGGCGACGGCACCAAGTCTTTGGGAAATCATAGTGAAACCATGTGGCAAACACATGGATCACCAAATGAACCTGGAGATGCTTTCTCTACAAACAGTTCTTTTTGGGGGGTGTATGCATAGAAAATCATAGAAACATATAACTATATTATTGACTGTCAAACACACATAAGCATTCATCGCTTGTCATACAGTGAATGGTGAAGATGCTTAGATACACTCAGTAATCAGGTTGAATGTTCCCATTCAGCTAAGCTATGACGGTTTGTCTTCACATCTCTTCACCGATGCTATGCTTGGACTCTCCGTTTGTGCAGTTGCCTGGACGTGATGGTCAGTCTCCTCATTGCCCTGAACACCATCGCATCTCAGCATCGGATGCAATGGATGCTTTCTGATGATGTTTTCTTGGATTGGCGGTATGCTTTTGGCGGGACGGAGGCGTTCTCTACATGCCTGAGAACTCTAGTCGAACGCAGGACTGACACAGAACTCGCAGAAGGGTCCCAGAACGTTCCTGCTGTTCACATCCTGAAGGAGCAAATCTTATGTGAGGGTAATTGTGCCTTTGGTGTGTGCTTCCATAAGACTCAAAACATCCCTCCCGCAAACCACATGGCCAAACATGTTTGACATCTCACACATGACCGGAATTCTTTTGCCACTTCCATCTCCAAACATCTCGTAAGGTCATGATGCTCTCACATCAGCAGATGGGTCATGAAGCTGCAAAGACAGTTGGTGAGTATGACTCCTCCATGGCCAATTTCGACATCTCTCAGGACTGTTTAGAGATTGCTGCAGATGGTTTTGCAGTCAGTGGTCCAATGGACAAGGAGTGGTGCAGTGGAGGCTACTGGTAAATTATCCTCCAGTCAGGAGATCACTGCATTTTCATACCTCCGAGCCATTTCTCACAACATGGACCCAATTTGGCTGCTGGCACATCCGCCCAAGCTACTTCTCAGCCAGGACACCTTCACTCGCTGTGAACAGGCTGGCAGCCGCAGCAAATGTTACGGGCGTGGTGCAGGAAGGAAAGACTTGCGATGCATCCTTGCGCTTCTTATGCATCACACAAATAGATGAGGTTAGTATGGTCACGTGCACTTTGTCAGCCTTGAAGGGACAAGCTGTCAGGTATGTATTTGCATGTATAACTCAATCCTTGTTGCCTCGAGCCTTCGGCATGTTTGCCCGTATTTGACTACATTGGGATACATTGGGGGTTTCGGGGTCGATACAGATACAATAAGTCTACCGTGTGTTCCATCTTTTTGGAGCATTTGTTTTTACTTTTTATGTTTGTTTGCTTCACACTGCCGTATGGACTAGCCAGCAGCCTACATGAACATGTGCATATTGGAATCAACACTTCTTCAACTGGGGAGCTTCCGAGGGGCCCCTGTGCCGCGTTTTGCAGGTGTTTGCCGTGATCTTCTTTTTGGAGCTTTCAGCACTTTGGCCGATTGCGGGGATGCTGCAGGGTGGATGCCTTATCCGTTTGGCTTTCAGGTGATTGTTTTTGGGGCTGAGGCTGATGCAGAGAACCTTGAAGAGGGCGTCCTTTTATAGTACATCTTAGTACATCCACTTGGTTTTCCAATTACTGCTGGCCACTCCAAGAGACACTTCAAACACCTTTATGGTTTTCCCACACCTTTGTGGTTGTCCCAACAAAGAATTTATGCTCACTCTTCTGACCCAAAGTCAGCAAACAAATGGTTTGTCCCTTGAAGTTTGTCCTTTGAGGCTAGGCTTATCATCCATGGATGCAAGTATTTGAAGAGCGTGCTGAACTTCTTCGATGCTCTCCTCGTGGCCTTTCGGCGTGCAGATTCTCGCAGCTGTGGCGGGAAACCGCTCCAATTGTCCTCTTTGTCCTCTGACGTAGTAGCGTTCTAGTAGCTTTTTTTAACGGGGGTACTGTAGGCCGCGAGTAGAGGTAGTAGCTAGAGGTAGATAGTTAGCTAGTAGTAGCTAGGTAGCTACTAGTATGGACGCAGGATAGCTCACGCTTCTTCAAGGAAGCTCCCCCCACAGCCGTAAAGGCGGCGGGGGAAGCTTCCTTGAAGAAACGCTCTCACTAATGATTTGGTTCCTAGATGTTTAGGGAAACTTAACTAATGATTTAGTAGCGATGCCCTTTGTTCCTAGTAGTTTCTTGTCACTGACTAGGTTCGTGACGGTGTCAGCTCACGTTTGGAGGCACTCGACTTAGGAAACCGATGAACCCTTGATCCTGGGGGCTGAAAATACCGGGATTGGATCCACAGCCGAGAATCTCGGGATCGATGATCTCTCTTCCGCTGCCCATGTCAACTATGCCCCCCCAAAAATACCTGCCCTGTCAATGTTGCGAATGCACATGTGAGATTTGTTTTCCATTTTGCAATGCATTTCATGATGAGAGCGGATAGATGACATTCGAGTCACACCGCAATCGAATTTCAATTCTCAAATCCGGTCGAAGGGCCCTTGAGTCACGTTCGGCGACGACCTTCGCCACCCGCTGGCATTGTGAGAAAGGACGCATAGCGGCCTTCGAGTTCTTTTTCTTTTGTTGCTTGGAACTTCGTGAGTTCAAGTACTTCGAGATTGGTAGCGGAGCCCAAGACGATCCTCCCGGAATTTGACCAGGGTGAACTTTTTGTTTGAGGACGCCTATAGGGTAATCCTGGCCGGTGAGAATTGGCTCATCTTAAAGATCACGTTCAGCAAGGCAGTCACAAATGAGTGGTCAGCAAAGAAGACAGCGAGATAGACAAGAAGGTGAACAACCAGTTGATGTCCCCATACCTCCTTCTCCTCCACGTGCAGCGAATGGAGCTAGTCCAGGAACTCCTTCCTCTGGATCCAACAACTATCGTGGATTGGATAGTGGCTTGGCAAAGGCCGCACCATCGGCCGAGGGGCTAACGCAAAGTGGCTATCGCAGCTATAGAAGACGATTGGAATTGTATGCCCTGCAGTGTCGTCGACGCTCAACGGACGCTGAGATTGAAGGTGCTCTTTTGGTCATCAGCCTCCTCAAGGACACTGTTTGGGATGCAGCAGAACAAATAGATTTGAAAGAAATCACCAGTGGAACAAATCCGTTCGCACCTTTGTTCACTATGATGGACCAGCTATTTCAATATGAAGAACAAATTGAGGTTCCATATCGGTGTGAAGAGTTCTTTCAAAGCTTCAATCGTCAGAAGGGAGAAGAAATGCAGGCATACCTCATTCGCCACCGCACTGCTTTGAAGAAACTTCGAGAGGTCAAGATCGACATTCCACCACTTCTTGCTGGATGGCATTTGTTGACCCGAAGTGGAACTCCAAAATGGACACACGTGCAAGTGAAAGCATTGTGCAAAGGCGAGCTTGACTATGAAGAAGTCCAACGAGCTTTGCTTCGAATGTTTGGTGGAGATCACAAACCAAACACCAAGGACATTGGACCTGTGGCCAAGTCATCCAAAGACGAGTTCTTCTACGAGGAAGACTATGATGAGGAGTTCTACTACGAAGGAGAAGAAGAAGATGATTGGCATGAAATCTACTATGAAGGTGAAGAAGATGAAGAAGAAATCCCTGAGGAGCTTGAAGAGGCATACGAAAACATGGATGAAGCCTACATCTCCTACTTGGAATCAAGGAAAAGAATGAAGGAACTTGCCTTGGCTCGTGGCTTCTACCCCGTCGTAGCCATTGGTCCTGACTTCGACCATGGCAAAGGAGGCAAAAGCGAAAGAAAGGGAAGCTCAAAGGGCAAAGGAAAGAGTAAAGGAAAAGGAAAAGGCAAAGGAAAAAGCATGTTTCCTCGACGCCCAATGCATGGTCTTCGAAAGCCACCATCATCGTCGACCATGACCTCCTCCGAGTTGAGATCAACCCTGACCGGTTCCAATTCTTCTCATGGACCGAGGTTCAAACGATATCGAGTGCAAGCACAAGGTGTCAAAGAAGTTGGAGGTGAAGAGGTGACCATGGTGGAGGAACTAGCGGAAGAGTGCTTTCAAGAGGACATCTTCTTTGCCACCCTTGCTCCAGGTCACGCAATTGTGGATTCAGGTGCAACAAGAACATTGGTCGGAGAAGAAGTGTGGAAAGAATGGGTCGAGCACTATGATGAAGGCCTACTTGGACCTCTCCGTACTCAGGCACAAAAGCGATCCTTCAAGTTCGGCGGCGGAGAGATGCTTGAATCCAACTACGAAATCTCCTTCAACGCCTTGGTGAAAGGTCAAAAGTTGCTCATCACGGTTTCAGTGGTACCTGGGCACACTCCCTTCCTGTTGGCGAGACCTGTGCTGGAACAATGGGGGGTGAAACAAGACTACGCCAGTGGCAACATGAAGGTGGCTCAATCCGAATGGTTTCAACCAAGTCGTGGACAAAAAGGTCACTATGTCTTGAACTTGTTGGAATATCATGAAGACGAACAAGAGATGAACTACATCACGGAAGAAGAGGTCTTGATCTCGACAAGTCCACTGGAAATTGAACCGCCCTGTGAGTCAGAACCGTCTGACATTGCAGAGCAGATCCTCATGGAGTCCGAAGCAAATGAAGTTGAAGAGATTTCTCAACAAGTTTTGCAGCGCCTTCAACAAGAAAGAAAATTGATCTTCTTTGAGGTCTATGTGGATGAAGGCAACCTGGCTACAGAACTGTTGAAACGCTTTCCAGACTGTGAGGTCGCCACTTTCAGCCTACCTCATTGGGACTTTGAAAAAGAAAATGACCGAAAAGCATTCCTCAAGTTGGTGAGAGAACAAAAGCCTCACTTCATCTGGTGTGCACCACCGTGTACGAAATGGTCACCAATGCAAAGGCTCAACATGATCAAGGCCGAAAAGCTAGCCTACATCCTGGAATTGCAAAAGCAAGAAGAAAAGCAACATTTGAAACTGGTTTTGGATGTCACCGACATCTGCAACTGGGAGATCAATGCCGGCATGGCCATGGAGCATCCTCATTTGGCTATGTCATGGAAGACGAAAACCTTGGAGTCCATGGATGGTTATGATGCAATCTGCAACCGATGCAGGACCGGCTTGTGCTACTATGATCGCATGGGAAACTATGTCGGAAAGGTCAAGAAACCTACGAGGATTCGCACAAACAGCCAAATGGTCTTTGAAGCACTTGATCTTCCATGTGAATGTCTTCCTGGAGAGCATGTTGCTATGGATGGAAAAGCAGAAAGCTTGAAGAAAATGCAAAACTACGAAAGAGGCTTCGTGAAAAGAGCAGCAAATGCCATCTATCAGGAGATGGAAGAACGATGGCGACAAAGAGAGATAGCCAAGATCTATATGGTTGAAGAGCAGGATGAGAAAAACAAAGTGAAGAATGCATCCAACATTACTGAGGAAGAGAAGAAGCTGATGAAGACCCACAGCAAGCAAAACCTACAGGTCATCAGCAAACTGCACAAGCAACTTGGACATCCAGGTGTAGATCGGATGATCAAAACGCTTAAAGATGCAGGTATGGATGAGTCTCTGATCCGATGTGCCAAAGACTACAAGTGTGAAGTATGTGAGCAACAGGCACAACGGAAATTGGAGAAACCAGCTTCACTGCCTCAGGCCAGTCACTTCAATGAATGTTTGGAAGCCGATGTTTTTCACATCCGCTGGAATGGAGAAAAGCGAAAGGTTTTGGCCATCCTCGACATCTATTCCAAGTACGAAATCAATGCAGTGTTGGAGAGAGAAACTGAAGAAGCTGAATTGAAGATACTTCGTGAACAATGGCTTCAAACTTTTGGTCCTCCAGAACGATTCAGAACAGACCAGTCGGGAGCACACATGAGTCAGAAGTATCTGGACTTCTTCGACCAAAACAACATCAAGCTGATCCTCGTGCCCAAAGAAGCTCACTATAGAATGGGATCAGTGGAAAGACTCCACGCTGTGAGAAGAATGCAGCTGCTCAAAATGCAAAAAGATGAACCGAATGTACTCCTTGAAGAAGCTGTTCCAGTTGCTTGTCATCAACGAAACCGCCTTCGTTCAGTGCATGGCAGCTCACCATACCAAATCGTTTTTGGACACAATCCTCAATCGAACGGTCTGTGTGATGAACCGCACTTGTCCAAACCGCTCGATGACACGGAACAGCACCAAAAAGATCAAGCACTTCGGTACTCAGCAGCCAAAGCATTTTATGAAGCCAACAACAACCAGCTGCTCAAACGTGCACTTCTTGCCCGGCCACGGTCTGAACATGTGGCCGCCAGCCTTGGCGATTGGATCTACTACTGGAGACAGGGGGAAAACAAACTTGACCCTACTCGCTGGCGTGGCCCTGCATTGGTCTGCGCCATAGAGCCCCGCAAGAACGATGACGGCCGCATCCGAGCTTCTGTTTACTGGGTTGCTCATGGATCCAGTTTGGTGCGTGTTGCAAGTGAGCATATTCGTGCCGAGGTGGCTCGAGAAAGAGTTCATCGCCTGGAAACGCAACCTGACACCGCTGTTTCGAACAGTTTGGTTCATCGAGTTCGACAAGCTCTGACCCCTGTGCAGGGTCCTGTGCGTTTTCTTGATCTTGCAGGGGATCCCACCTTTTCGAATGCAAAGGCTGAAACTTCTGTCCCTCCTCTGGTACCACCAGAGAGTCCAGAAGTTCCAATTCCTCTGGTACCACCAGAGAGTCCAGAAGTTCCAATGTCAGAACCTCAAGCCGAAGAAGAAGTGACAACAGAACCTCAGCACACTGCGGCAGCAGCAGAACACAAGACAGCAGCAGCCAGCACGGCAGCAGCAGAAGCTGAAGCAGTTGAAGTAGAAACAAAAGAAGACCAAGATCCAAGTGGCCGAGGAAGATCAAGAAGCCCTCCACCTCATGACTCTCGGCACAAAGACTTTGAAAACCTGTATGAGTCCTACAACAAGGCACGTCAACTTGATGGCCTCCCGCCTGTTTCTCGAGATGATCATCAGCCATCAGCTGAAAAGTCAATATGACATGCTGTATGGTGAGGAAGTTGACTGGCTGGACGAAAATTTCATGGCCACTTCATTCAGTGAGAAAAACCTCACCAAAGAGCAGAAAGAAGAGTTCGCCGAAGCTCGCAACAAGGCTTTGGATGTCTGGTTTGAGAATCAAGCATGGCGACCAGTCGATGCCTCCGAAGCCCAACCAGGCGAAGCAGTACCAGCAAGATTTTTGCAGCGCTGGAAGCCAACAAAAGAAGGGCAGAAAGCAAACGCCCGAATCATCATACAGGGATTCAAACATCGTGATGTGCTCGAAGACACTGTAGATAAGGAAGCTCCTACTTTGTCCATGGTTGGTCGCAGCTCCATTTATCTTTTTGCAGTGGTTCGTCAGCTCAAGCTGTGGAGTGCTGATGTGAAGACTGCTTTTCAACAAGCAGACAACATCGAACAAGAAGCCCGAGTGTTCATACAGCCCTCAGCTGAGATTCGACGCCTCCTGGAGAGAAAGATTGGATTGAAACCATGGCAAATCATGCGTGCATCCAAGCCCGCTTTTGGTGATTGCAGAGCTCCAAGACAGTGGAATGCAACTGCTCATAGGTGCTTGACTGAGGAACTTGGCATGATCCCACACCCTTTGGATCGTTGTGTGTACCTCAGCATTCGAGCTGCATATGAATCTGATCCAGCTTTCGAAGTGTTCCAATGGAATGGGGTCCCTAGCATTGTTGACGGCATTTTTGGACTCCATGTGGACGACTTCATTGGTGCTGGTGAAGGTTTCTGCAGTGAGCATGATTTGAAAAAGGAATGTCCCAATGAAGAGTGTTTCCTCAACCGCATCCTGCGTTTGGCTCAGCGTTTTCGTTTTGGTGCATGGGATTTTGGAAATGGCTCAAAGATCATCTTTTGTGGTGCTGAACTGCAACAGTCGCTAGACTACTCCACCATTTCGGTGAGTCTGGCGAACTATGTACAAAAGGTGAAACCGATTTCATTGGACAAATCCAGGAAAACAATGACAGAGTCTCCATGCGATGAACGTGAACACCGACAGTTCCGTGCCCTCATTGGTGCGCTAGCATGGCCTGCTCATCAAAGCATTCCAGAGTTGTGTGCAAGCGTGAGCATTTTGCAAGCATCAGCAAGCAATCCATGTGTTGGTGATTTGAACCAAGCAAACAAGCTGCTTCGTTTTGCAAAAGAAGTTTCAAAAGATCACCAACTGTACATGCGTGGTTCATGTGCTTTTTCTGAGTTGTGCATTGGAGCCTATACCGATGCTGCCTGGGCCGTGAGACCCGACGGATCGAGCCAAGGTGGACTTTTGGTTTTCATTTGTTCGCACCAAGAGCTGGAATCCGGCAGCATGATGCCGCTCAATGTCTTTTATTGGAAATCGCACAAGTTGGCACGTATTTGTCGGTCAAGCTTGTCCTCAGAGGCTCAAGCAGCCGCCATTGCAGTGGATGAGCTTGAATGGTGCAAGATTTTTGTTTCCGTCATGATCGACCCCACCTTGCCGATCGAAAGTCCGGAAGCATTGCAAAAGCTTGGACCATCCCCGCTAGTGACAGATGCAAAATCTTTGTTTGATTCTGCCAAGTCCTTGTCTCCCAGCATGAAATTGAGTGAGAAAAGAACTGCGATCGAAGTGGCCATTGTGCGAGATCGCATGAATGCTTTGTTGGGAAAATGGATGTGGGTGAACTCACACCAACAGATCTCTGACGGCTTGACAAAGCCGGCTTCCAGAGATTCCATGGCCTACATCATGAAGCGTGGCACCCATCAACTCAAGTTCAACCCCGACTTTACAGCCTCCAAGAAAGTGTCCTCGGAAGCCAAGAAAGAAGAAAGGGAAATCCATGAAGCTTTTTCAAAAGAAATGGAAGAACAACAAGTTTTTGCAGTAGAAGAGTGGCAAAAGCATGAACAAGGTCTTTGTTTACTTCCAAGTTGCTGCAAACCCCGCAACGAGAGTGATCCTCGAAACAAATACTGCAGCAGAAGGCATTTTTATGCCCATCGCAGCTCAAATAGTCATCAAGACGAATGGAAGAAGGCAGCCTTGTTTTCCGCAGCCATTTTGATGGCAAGCGAAGCGCCTCTTGCTGAAGGAGCTTTGACATCTGTTGAAGCTGAAGGATGGAGATTACCAATCTTCATGTCCTTCATGGTCATCATGATCTTCGCATGGATCGGCCTTGAAAACGTGTTTCTGCGTTTTGGCATTGAAACCATCTTTTACAAGGCCTACCGCTTTGCAAATGACAAGGTGACGAACCTGTTCAGAGAGGAGATGAATGAAAATGAGCAGGTTGTTGAGAATGACCAAGCTTCTGCGAATGCCCCAGTGACTGAGAACCCGCTCAATCCTCCTAGCCATGTCGTTTCCGCAGCTGTTCAGGCCGATGAGGTGATTCTAAATGCACTGACTTTGGCCCGTCGTCCTGGAATAGATTCAGGAAGCACGACTACGAACACAGAGTCGGATCTTCCAGATGAAGAATGGCATCGCTGGAGTCGCATGAAGGTGAGAGTTCAAAACGAGGCTGGACAAGGCCCATATCGTCGCCTTCTATGGGAACTTGAAAACCATGATAGTAGTCTGGACTCCCAGACAAGGTGCGTGTTGCAATCTGAGAGCTTCACCACACAGCGCTGGAGGAAGTTCAGTGAATTGCTTCGAGCTCAGGACACCTCGCAATTTTCTGATGAGCAAGTATGTCAGTGGCACCGAATGTGGAATGACAACCTGGTGTTTTTGGCTGACGTGAATCGTCGCATCGTTCGTCAGAGAAATCAGATCATTGCCTTGGAACGCAATGACCGTGTTCGTGAGCAAATCTACAACGGTGAACTGGCTGATCGAACCTGCCAGACTCCTATGACGTTTGTTGCTGGCACTTGACCAAGACGCCTGGCTGAGAGAGAACATGGTGCCTGGTACCATGTGAGTGATTTAGATGTCCTTCGTTGAAGATGACTCTAGCCCGCTTTTTGAATTTTCTTCGACAGCCCTTGAAAACTTCCTTGGGCGTGTCAATGTTGCGAATGCACATGTGATATTTGTTTTCCATTTTGCAATGCATTTCATGATGAGAGCGGATAGATGACATTCGAGTCACACCGCAATCGAATTTCAATTCTCAAATCCGGTCGAAGGGCCCTTGAGTCACGTTCGGCGACGACCTTCGCCACCCGCTGGCATTGTGAGAAAGGACGCATAGCGGCCTTCGAGTTCTTTTTCTTTTGTTGCTTGGAACTTCGTGAGTTCAAGTACTTCGAGATGCCCCCCATGCCTGTGTCAATCAAACACTGCTTGTTTGTACAGTAGGTCTTTTGATACACTCAATTATATAAATTTCGAATAAAATCGATCATCTCTTGTTCTGTGGAAAGTCACATCTTTCACGGTCTTCATGTTCACTCGTATTACCTTCGTTCATCCTAGGCCCTTGGAAGGTGGCTAAAGCTTTGTGCATGTCACAGATGCGTGGGGAGGGCTTTGGCATGCTTTGGCATGCTTTGGTGCCTTGTGATTTCTCACAGGTCATCAGCCTGGTGGATATGCTGATCCTTCAACCGCTCCTGGATTCAGGCTGAGCTTGCTGTGATCATAGTAGTTGTCCCAAAAAAGTTGGGAACAAAAGAAGCATGGGCTTCAAGACTTGTCTAATGGTATGTATACAGAAGTCACGGATGTCCTCGTATATGATTGGATGATTTGGGTATCTTGAGTTTGATCTTTGCTTCTTAACAACGGCCTTTCTCCCGCATAAATCACCTCCTGCCGTGTGTATGTTTATTTACATCTTTGCCCTGCTAAGAAAGGTTTTGGACATCGTTTGACACGGTGCCTTTTCCCAGGCACACCCGCTGGTTGTGTTTCTTAACACCGCTTCGCACCTCTCGGGACACCGTGGCTTCGCCGCGTTCCGGGTGCGGTGTAGCGGATCGGGTGATGTTTCATGTTCAACTGAATCCATGTTGAATCCCCATCCTGGGACAATCGTTCCTTCATGTCTTTCAGTTCGACCGAAAAAAGGTGGCGTGAACCTGGTGATCCTTCGTTTCCTTCGGATCATCAAGCTGGCGCGCACGCTGCGGGCGCTACGCGACTTGGGCGGCAGAGGTCGACGGAGAGACTGGGAGAGAGTTCTTCCATGAGAGGTGCTGATAAGCGCTTAAAGCCCGTTGTTGTTTTCAGGTGTTTCCGGCCCCCCCCAATAAAACATATATAACAACCTGCCCAATAGAGCATCAGTGAAGCGAAGTTCACTCTTCGACAGATTGTGGGCCATGTATAGACTATCGGCAATTGGGGAGTTGCGTACTTTGAAGCACACTGAATCACCAACGGATCTTCCCTAGGTGATGACATCTCTGGCAACATTTCGCAACTATTCATGGCTAGCCACATTGTTTCTATGTTTCATGAAGTTTCATGGTAACCTCCAGCTCTTATTCATGTGTTTCTATAGGGCCCGGCCGCAGCGATGTTCGGATCTCCGAGCGCCGCAGCTTTCGGGTCCAACGTCCCCGGCCCGTTTTCGGCTCCGCTCGGCGCTCGAAGGACGCGAAGGACGCGTGCACCACTCAGGCAGCATGCGCTTGTTCACGGGCTTAAGAGTGCTGGTGGCAGCCGTGAGCTCCTTCTTGCCCTCCTTGTGGCTTGGATGTCGATTGCAAGAGACATTGGGGATACGAAACAGAGATCCTTAGAGGTAGAAACGGCTGGTGTCCCAAAAAGAATGACTGGTGTCCCAAACCCATGACAAAGTGGCTTAGGCGTAGTTTGGGACATTTTTGGAGCTGCTGAGCTGCCAAGTGATGTTTCATCCTCCAGTCGTTTTCGGTGAGCGGTGATCTCTATGGGCGTTTGGATGTTTGCTCAAACGATTACCAGTGAGCTTGGCATTTGAATGCATTTGGGATCGGCTGAAAGAGGGTTCTCCTGTCATGCTAGGACCTGGAGGAACAATTAGCTGACGTGAAACACCCATTTTGAAGCTTGTATACATTACAGTCGACATACATTAGACACGTAGACACATGAGAATTTCGTCACACAGGTTTTGGTCCATGTTCTTCCTCACGATTTTCATCATCCTCGGTGGTTTGCTGGTTGGTACCTCGCTCATCGACTTCATCCACGACGAAAGCCACTTGGCACGTGCAACGGCCCTGGGGCTGAGGGCCGGGTATCCATGTGGCGGTTCCGTTTCAGACCCTGAAAAGAAGAATGTGGATATGTGGATTATGGAATGGAATGCTGAGGATCCAGTATGTCGACTTGTTGCAGGTTTTGTTCCCTGGTTGGTATACCATCAGTACATACATGTATCTACGATAGATTCTTAGACTATGGATGATGGGATTTTCAGTAGCCAAGCAACACATCAACCAAACTCTGTAAGGCTACAGAATTGACGAACGATGCCAGCAGGCATCGGGTGGACAGGTGTTTTCTGTCCGCTCGGAGTCACCAGTGGACAAGGAGCCCCTGTTGAAGGGATGGGATGCCGTGCTGTGCTAGCTGCGGCCGGGAAACTCGTGCGTGGAAGGTCAAGATTTGGAGGTTCGCCGATGGGTTTGGCAAAGATATGGATCCATGGCCTCCATTATCGAACTGGACTGATGCAGGGCTGGGTGGGGATGCTGGAGGCGGCGGAGATTCTCCTGGGACCATGGCTTGCGTGGGGTTTTCAGAAGGTTTAGGAATGAATGGTCGCAATATAGTATATGTCTACATGCAGAAAGGATTCCAAGATGCCCCACTGACGGTTGCTGCCGGACCTTTCAGCTTGTTTGCCATTTGGTGAGTTCTCATTCTACAACTTGTTCCTTATTTGTTGAGCAAACGAGCAACTATATTTGCCCCTATGATCTAGATGATGTGCACACGTTCTTTTGCTTCCTCCCCAGACGCCAGACCACATCACCAGAACGACGACGCGTCGACGTGCGTCAGATCGGCCGACGAAGTCACGTGCGTCAGGTGTCCTTAGATCACTGGAGTGGGGGAATACATGGGAATAGTGGGGATGACTGGGCCTCAAAAGACCTTAAATAAGTGGTCCAAAGAGGTTGGAGGCCATCACTATTAGGTTGGAGGCCATCGCATTTAGGTTGGAGGCCATTGCTATTCAAGTGAGGATGTTTGCTTCGAAGGCTGATGGTCTTGCTGCCAAGGGGTGTTAGGCAAGAAGTCCTTAAGAAGTCATTGGCGAAAAGGAGGACTCCATCCAAATGGATCCAGGGGAGCTAGGCAGTTGGTAATGCAGTTGTGAACGGGTGTGGACATGCCGAAAGCATCCAAAAGCCAATAAAAAAAACAGCAATCTAATTGGAGAGATCGTGTGCACCTCTCAGCTGCAGCATGCATTCGTGCAATCGCTGGCAGTGTCCGGTCTCGGGTGCTGTCAGGAACTTCGTATCGGGCCACCTACACCATGTTCCAGGCCTACACCATGTTCTCGTGTTGATGTGCGTTGCACAAACATAGCACCCAGAAAACCTGAACCTTTTTGGCCAAATTGGTAACTATAGGCATTTATAGGCGTTTGTAGTGACGATGTGAGGATGAACGTCCAGGGACGATGTGAGGATGAAGCGTGGACCTTCCCAGTGGTACGCACAAGACATGTGAGTTCAGCGTTTTGGTACGGTATGGGTACTTAACTTGTTATGCAGGTGTTAAGCGGACACCATTTTTGTTGGAGGGCGCGGCATGGTCTATCGTTTGCGCATTGTCATGTGTTGTTTCTGATTCGGTTGGCCGGGCTGATTTCGGTTCGCACCTGCTTGTTCAGACAGAGGCGCTTCATGTGACATAACATGAGTGCATGCTGTTAAGCTCATGATGTGTTTGCCCTTGTGCTTGAATTGAGCACCTGGCAAACTGGAAATTAGGCTGTTCAAGAGGTGGATCAGTGGAATGCCTGCAGCGGTCTTATGCTCTCTTTTGAAGAAGGAATGTCACCAACTTTGAGGGGTGTTCCACCCCTCCACTCCCCCTGCCACCACTCCTGTCCATCCGAGAGGGCACAGAAACACAGTTTCCTCCAGCAAAACTGCCGTCTTCACCGCCTTCGTTCTGAATTCACCGGAACGTCAATCACCGCCTCCCAGCACTTCCCACTGCTGCCTTTGCTTTCACTTTGTTTCCCACCGGAGGTCACTCAGGCCCCATTGACTTGGATGAGGAGTATGCGGAATTTAATACCGGCCCATCCTACCCACCAAGCACCCCCCGTACCATCAATCCGAGAAGAGAGGGAGGAAGAAAACGACAAGGAGTTCTGTGTACATCACCAGCTCATATTCATGTGTACATCACCGCCAGTGACCCTGTGGATGATCTAAGGGAATTAGAATTAGTTGGATGATTTTTTTGTCTCGAGACCTGCTATCCGTTCAAAGTGATTCTGACAAAACCCCATGCACGGGGTGGGGCATGATACCACCTCAGAACTCGAAACATTTAGTTGCAAAAGCCAGCCGTAGGCTAGGGCCTAGCCGCTAGTTTCTGCGAACGAAGTGAGTTTTTGCGAACGTGTGGAGGGGCGGATCGTGCCAACTCTGGCTTTCGCTCCTTTTTTATAAACGTAGGACAGGGTCGGTCCAGGAGAAGGTGCCTGGCCTGCACTGAAATGCCTCATGAACTTGGACAGGTGACCTTTGCAGGATGTTGGCCAAGCTATGTGAACCCCCTCTTTGACAACGTCAGCATGTGGTCGCTCGCCAGCGCAATGTGGCGAAACCGAACGCCAGGGCAGTTTAATATTTGTGTCCGTCGCTGCGTTTTGAAGACGTAATGTGGACGGACTTTGTCCATTCGAGGTATGCGTTGTTCTTTTGCATCTACGTGACATTCGTTGTGTTCGTATCTTGGACTGCAAGTTTGGACACACCTGCATTGCAATTCAATGTGGTTTGCACAAAAGGACAGAAACACAACAAGACTGGATATGTGCCTTCCAAAACAGGTGCCAAACGACTTTAATAGCTTTCAGAGCTTGTGTGGTGTGTGCCAGGCCGTCATGCGCGTGATCACCGCAATTTTTTTGAAGGCAAGTTGACTCAGTTGAGCGGTTGCCACGGGAGCGGGTGATTGAACAACATGTGCAGTACAATATGTTACATGTCTTACTTTGCAGATATAACATGGTCGATCGACTGGTGGGATATTTTTAGGCGCAGACACTAAACAATAGTTTCATTGTTTAAGCACAATTACTTGCACATTTGATTTTACATGATTTTGCAATCTATTTTTTGTTGCTGTTGCTGCTGACAAAATCAGGAAACTTTGGATGCAGCAGGAGAGGACCACGAGGTGGTCATGTCAGAGAAGGAGGCTGGTTCAAAGGTGCATGTCACAAATCAATTACTTGAGCGAAGGTAACTGGTTACGTTGTGAGCTTTGCGATTAAAACACATAGTAACAAAACCGAACAAAATCCAATGTCTCATTACTTCGTCTTGGTGATGTCTTTTCCTCTCAAAGCCACCGTTTGCCCGGTTGTCCGAGGCCACAAAGAAAAAATATTTGCGGAAGCTGGAACGGATCTTTCATGAGATGGATGTGTCGGGAGACGGCCTGGTCTCAGAGGAAGAGTTCAAAAGCATGATGGAGGACCCACCGGAGACGTGGGCTCTTGGTATTGAAAACGTCATAAACAGTGTTGGATTGTGAAGGAGACGTGGTGAATATTGTGTTGAAGAGATGGTAGTGAGTCAAGGCCCACCTTGCATATGTAGAAATAGACAGTTGCCTTTGATGTTGCAGCGGTTTCAACGTATTCCACAACAGAGATCCACTGAAAGTAGATCTAAAACGAGTGCGCAACAGCGTCCTGCACCCATCGCAAGCACCATTGGTTGGGTCATGTCACCCCTGAATCCGTGTTTGACTGACATGTCTGGACGAATTATCCCCCAACCTTTGACATGGTCAACCGATCCCCCAAAAATCCGGCTCACCCCCAAAAATCCAGACCCGGTTTAACGTCACAGTCACATGGAGCGTTGTCAGGACGAAAACGTCAAGAAGTATCTGGTCTTTTTGGAGGTTGACCTCAACGAGTCCCAGCTGACATCGAGTGGTCATGGCAGTTTTGGTGAGAGAAAGATCACCAATGAAATTGACTTGGTGGTGTGCATCTTGATTTTACATGATTTTACCAATGAAATGGGCCAGTCACGTAGAGAAAAGCTGAATGGACCGCATCAGTTTCTTGGTAGAAGACAGCAGTGTTTCTGCACGGCGTTCGCGTGCATAGATTCGATGGTGTTTTGCCGCAGTCAGAAAGGTGTTCAAAGCTCATGCCATGGTAGAAAAGAAAATATCTGGATGTTGTATAGTGGTTTCACCACATGTCACCCATCTGAAAAGACATAATATTGCGCCATCTAAAGTCTGAAACCACTGCTTGAGAAGTAAGCTGAAGCTGTTATAGTGCATTTTTTTGGAACCCAAAGCACGCCGCAATCGACTATTTTTTTTCTTCAGGAGAGTCATTCGTTGTTCCACATGATGGCAGATGAAGACGGTCAAGTTTCTTATACCAGATTTATGGATGGACGCTTGGCTGGAACGGATCCTGGGGAAGTCCGACATCGATCTACGATCGGCGTGTGGCGGCGAAGGGAGACTCTCGGAGATCCCCCCCCGCCGATTCGACCCGCTTCGGGACATAAAACCAGTCTACCCAGCCAAGGCCCCGGAGCTCCCTTTTACACACCCAAATATAAATGAGTCTTTTCGTTATAAATATCTTCATATTAATTAGTCCATCGACTCCATCCCCTAGAGCTCCAAGTGCCGAAGGTCTGACTGGACCTCCCCAAACCCTCTCCAGTCCCACCTTCCAGGATCGTCTATCAGAGGGTACTTGGAGGTCTAAGGGATCGACTTCTTTCCAATCCTTCACCGACCGAACTTGACTCCGAATCGACTGAACCGTTGGGTACACTGAATCCGAACGAGCCGGACCCGTCCTGGCGTCTGACCAAAGGAGGTCAGGGTTGGCAGTCAATTGAACCACAGGAGCTTCGCGGGAGGTTTTAAGCCAATGGACATGCTCGGAAGCTCTCGGATGTGGTGCGGTTTTCATGGTTTTGGTCCACCAAATGAGTCCCGGTTTTTGTGTGCGCTCCACCTTGTCGGTTGTTGCCACCAGTCCAACCCGTCCATGTGGAAAGCGGTCGGTCCACGTGTGCGGCAAGGTATGAATCGCGCCAAGGGCCTGGCGAAAGCGGCACCTTGCGGGTGAAGACTCATACCAAGCGGAGAGGGGGATACTTGTGTCGAGCTCTTTGGAATAGGTTGATCATGGTTGATCATCGCAGGGGTCGGAGGTCGACAGGAGGTCACTCTTGGACCTGGCGGACTGATGTTTCCCTGCTGAGGTTGGAGCTGACTGACTCAGCTAGGAGGTCTCATCCTTGGCCCAGTCCCACTTTTTGACAGGCTCACAACTCACCAGTGAGCACGATAGTTGAGCTAAGACAGGTGTGTACAAAGAATGAGGCCCTGGGTTTACACAAGTTTTATCAAGTTTTATATACACCTGTTATATCCTGTTATAGGCTTGGGAGGAGAGTCATGTTTGACCCACTAGCAGATGGGAATTGGATCCAAGCCTTGTAGAGATTTCACGGAGTTGGATTCGACTGCTGAAAAGAGTGGGATTCTACCCGCCCTTAACCCCAGTGGCACTCATTTCTTCGTTAGTTTCTTCGTTTGAAACTGGTTTCATGTATATAGCAGGAGTTGTCGCACTACCAGTGAGGCAGTGTGCTTTCTAAGTGTATCAGCTGTGATTTGTTTTTCGTTACCAGGCAGACATTCTGTGCATCCGACACGATTTGGAGAAGCTTCGAAAAGACATTAAGTTGGTCAAGGCAGGGAAAGCTAGGCACCGAACTCATGAGGGAAACAATAGGAAACACCATATGAGCAAAGGCGCTCAGATGAGTGTAAGGAGATTGAACAGTGAGCTGTAAAACCAAAACACCTAGTTTTGGATGCGGCTCCTTGCTGCAAACTTGAAGGTTCCCAGTTGACTGTTGTGTTGGTCTCAAAATTTATGGAAATCCATTTAGGAATCCAACAATCTCAACATGCTTTATGTTTCAAGTTTCAACAAACTGTTTGGGATTCCATTTGGAGTTCTTAGGCTTGCAATCCCACCCCATGGCCGCGGGAAGTCTGGTGGTGTTGTGAATTTGCCCTAACCCGGAGGCGTTGTCAGGCCATGGCCTCTCAGAGGAGGAGAGGGACCATCGGGAGACGATTGACCACATGGGGTGAAGAATTGCAAAGCTGAGCTGATTCAGGGCTTAACCGTAAATCTGTAGTCCATGTAACATCATGTAACTGTTGCTTGAAGATTTATCAGTTTTTATTCCTTGTCTGTTGAAACTTTGGTTATCTTTGCTTGATCGATATAAACATTCAACAAAGCATACTCCAACAACTTTTTATCACCCTTTGAGTTTGATGCTTTTAGTGGGTGTTCGACCAGTACTCAGGTTGAGTGGGATGGTGAGGTGAATGTCCAACCAATAAAACCAATGTCCATGTCTGTGACGGGAGCGGCGTGGCTGGAAAGGCTGCTGTAGCTGAGAGGAACTGTATTTAGGCCTATTATTTAGTAAGTGAGTATATACTTGGTTTCATCCAGAAGGCTCCGTCAAGCGGCACTTAAATTGTTTGCTTCTCTGAGCAGAAGACCATGTGGGCAGGAGATCAACGCATATCAAGCTGCATGTCGTCTCTTCGCTGCGATGTGAGCGTTTGGACATGGCTTGCCCTTTTTTGGGGTGTTGATGGAAGGTATGGGGGTGTGCAAAACAGCCCCAGCTACAATGCCTACTATAGCTGCTGACTACTATCGACTTCCAGCAGCCCTTCCACAGCTGATCCTGGTGCACAGGGAAGCTGCAGTCTAGGGCTTTAGTTGAGGTGACCTGCACTTGCACGAGTCCTTACTTTGAGATTTGCATTGATCATGGATTGAGGGCACCGCTCGGATGGTGGCAAGTCGTCCTAGGCCACCTCAGCATGAGTCCATGGAAGTCCAATAGTGGCCGGAGGCGGATGGGGCGAAACTGGCGACAGCTCGAGCTGTTGGACGTGGGTGGGTGGCGAAGAACGACGTTGGACAGCTGAGACATGACATCATCCAGAGGCGACCGCCGACCTGCAGGTTGTAATGATCTAGGACCAGATTCTAGATGATCGTTGGAGCTGTGACATCATGGGCGCCCGGCACTTCCATTTTGTGGACTGTACGGTGCGTCCGTATGCTAGTTTGTGTGGTCATCATAGCCATTCCATCACTCCCACGATGGTGAACATTGGTGTCAGAAGATATTCACAAATGGCAAGTCCAGGGAAAAGTATGGAAACTTTGCCAATACACACAAAGCTGCATACCGGGCAGCTTTCTCAATGTAATTGTATATGATGAGCTTAACTGGAAGAATGTTGCCATACAGATAACTTCTTTCCTTGGCTCAATCAACTGGCAACGTTGTTTGTCAATTCAACTTGCACCAAGGCTCTTGCATAGATCAATCCCAAATGGGCGTGCATTAAAATAGATAAACTCCAAAAAAAACCCTCCTGGAAGAATGCAAATAGGCACAAATAGACCAAAATCTATTGGTTCGAGAGTCCGCATTCGAATGCATACCATTAGACGAACGTTCTTCCGTGACTTCGTTCGGTCGTCTCCAGGTGACTTCGTTAAAAGGGGCGACCTCAGCCACTGCCTGCGTTCGGAACGAAGCGAATATCACAGGCGTTGTTGCGTCAATCCAACATAGTTGCTCTTATAATATACCTATGCTTAAGCCAGGAGCAGTTTTTTCCTGCAGCAAATGTTTGGGAGATTTTCCACTGTTGTTCGGAGTGCTTGCGTCATGTTGGAAGCAGACCTGTTATTTGTTATTTGTGTTGAGTGTTAAGATGTGCTTACCCTGGCAAAGAGGGTAGACAAGGCCCCTTCCAATTTCCCTGTCCAACCACCAACACAAACACAAAGCAAGTCCTTACTCCAATAAAGGAGACTCTGGCAGGTAGGAGAGCCGCGCAAAGACTGGCTAAAGCGACAAGACTGTCCAAAGTGAGGGTCCTGTGCCTTTCCATCGCGACGAAGCGGCCGCGAAGCGGCCAGCGACAACACACAAAATGTGGGGAGATGCAAAAAGACCGGCATGGCACGGTCCAAATCGTCGATCTCTTTATTCTCCATTGTTTGTTTGTGTTTGGGATTATTGGTATCCTTGGATTCTTCGCTTGGATTTGATTTTTTTGAAGATGGGATACGGCAGTTGTTCGGAACATGGTGATATAATATATGGTGATTGAGCTTGCCGTTGGTGTCAGTGTATAACTGTTGTACCGGACTGCACCAACGAACCACACTTCTAGTACCTTAACAGAGGCAAGTGGAAAGGAGTTGAACATGTTTTCATATGTCTTCATGTCTTCCGTCCATCTAGTCTTGAGTGAATATGATTGTATGTGGCAGCAAGGTGATACTGCACCTCGCAATTTCCAGTTTATGATAGTTGATGTAAGTGCATGATTCACAGATGAAAGGAGGGTCTTGGAAAGTGCACCAAGCGCACTTCTGAATGATTTTGCAACCTTTTTGAGTCCAGATTGTGATGCCAACACTATAAGCCGTTGCCAATGAACCTAAAACAAACCTCGCCCGGCATGCTCCCAGCTTGCACAGCCATGGTAGCATCCAGTTTTAGAAAGCCAGCCATTCTCTTGAGGCTTTAACATGCAAGATTCAGCACTACCAGATTCTTACGCAGAAGACTCAAGTCCTGGAAATGGTTTAGTATGCATCATAGAGGATTCTTTCACATGTTCTGATACGTTGAATTTAACTCAATTCTATCTACTTCGCTGAACACGATGGTGCGGCCAAGCGGTGGTCGTTTCTTCACACCCTTGCTCTTGCTGCTTGGGTGGGGTCCCATGTCCAGAGTAGTTGACTACAGGCTGCTCTGAACGCAGCCCTTGTCGTTGGGCGACAAGCGAAGCAGGAACCGCAGGAAGTTCAGTGTCTCGTAGTGTCTCCAAACTATCTAGGTCAACCATGGTGAGCTGCTAGCCGAACGCCCCCTGGACTGTACCGTATGGAACTTCTTAGTCGCTTCAATGTTGTTTTCAGACGATAAGAAGTACCATCCTGGACCATCAACATGGTTGGTTTGCTCCGTTGAAGATTACCCAATCCTGGACCTGCACATGCAGCAGCACATGTCAGATTCTGCATGAAGCGAATTCCAGACTGGAGTGCCTTGAAGACATTCTTGACTAAAAGTATGACTCACTGAGATTCTATTTTATTAGTCCGGCTCTGTCGGAAGGTTTGACCACAAACAACAGCGGTTTTTGATGGTGTTTGATTCGTCTCTGTAAATTACTCAGATGCAGCATAGCTATAGATAATGATAGATATGAGATATGTTTTCGAGTGCTTTCGAGTTGCTGAGGTCCTTTTGGATCTCATGCAACTTTGTACCTGCGGGAGGACGCTTGGAGCTATGTTCCTGGTCCGAAGGATTGTATACAACAGAGGCCTGAGTAGCGGGTAGGCAGTAGTGGATTGATTCATGGCAGTTTCTACTTCTGCTCTTCAGATGGAATGTTGCGTGATGAATATGATGAATGTAGGGATTGGTCAAGGTAGCTGAGGGTGGAAGAATGTGGAAGCAGAGCGTTGGGAAATTGGTTCAATGGTTCAATTTTAAAGCCGGATGTACTCCTTAAAGGACATTTAAAGGCTTGACATGCTTCGTTCAGCATTTGTGCCCACAGTCATTTGTCTCACTGACATGCTAGCTTAGGTTTTAGGCACTTAGCTTTCTTAGGCAACGTGTGACTCTCTCGCGAACGTGCCAACGGTGGCGTCGTGCCTCGCGGCTCTTTCTCGGACAAGTGAAGCCACGCAGAGTGAAAGGCATTAAAGATAATGAACAAGTAGTATAAACACGAACACAAGAAACACATGTCAAGCATCATATATTGAAACATCAAACATGTTTCGTTTGATTCTAGACATAAGATATCATAAGATAGTACATCAGATATATAGGCACGTTAGTCAATGCACGATAGTCAATGCAGTAGCAAGAAGGGAGGAAAACATGCCATGTTTGAGGAATCATGAGGAATCTGAGTGAGAAAACATAGGCTTTGTCCCCGAGTCTCGATATGGGCATCGCTCCTAGGAGCAAAGGGCATTTCTACTAGGAACAAGGACGCTATTGGTGCCTCCTGGCATTGCTAGTAGGAGCATTCTTACTAGGAGCAAGGATAATAACGGTCTCAGCTTGTGACCATACAGGTCCAGATACCGCCCATCCAAGAGGAAGCACGTGCCTCACCGGCGTTCGAGCCATCGGAGAAGATCAGGGCCGGCGACGCCGCATGTGCGTCGCCTGGTCCAGTCTCGGTGCGAGGCGCGGTCCGCACTCCAGACGCTGTCCAGACGCAAGCCGACATAGCCGAAGACAGTTTGTTGTGTTGAAATCCGACGCCGAAAGAGTTTGATATGGTTTATTATGGATAGCTATAATGATACTAATTATAGCCGAAAGGGTTTGATAATGGTTTAATGTTTGTTTCATTGTGTTTCCACTTTTCCATGTGATCTTGAACCAGTGTTCGGATGGTCGCCTTTTCCGTACCCAGAAACACCGTTGACTGTGTCGACGAACTTGGCGACGGCACCATTCGACAGGGTGTCCAGCCGCACTTAGAGACCCTAGCTTCTTGTTCCTAGTAGTAAGGAGCCCCTAGTAGCGTCCTTGCTCCTAGTAGCGATGCCAGGAGCCTCTAGTAGCTTCTTTGGTGACCAAAACGTGCTGTCAGTGCGGGGTTGAAGTGGGTGCCAAAAGCAAGCAACCGCCTTCTTGAAGCAGCAACCTTTAACGGTTTGCACAGATGATTGACTTACCCATTAAGGAACCATAATATGGGTTCTTTGCAAATTAAATGAAAAGGAGTCCAGGGCAGTTCAATATATATATATATATGTTTTTTTCAAGTAGATTGAAAGCCTTTGACAATCGATTTGGAACAAAGATACCCTTGCTACTTGTTGCTACGGACGACGCCTCGATCGCTATTGTCATCAGAATCAAAACCATTCTTCAGGGATAACCGAGAACAGGAGAACTGGTCTTTCAGGAGGTTTTGCAATCCATGTTCGAGCGAGTTCATGCATGATACGCCATATCGAAAAGACGGGAGAGAAGACGGGAGACACTGTGGCTTTCTGCGCTGAAAACTGAGGTATGCTTGGAAGAACACTGACACATACCCATCAGCAACGCATGGAGTCTATGATAAGCTATGTATGTTTTTTTGGCCAACCATGGCCATTGACCCACAGGTGCCTTGATGCCCAGAGCTGAGCAGTGAGGGAGAGGGGGGCCTTTTCTTTTTGCAGGTCGTGGGCCTTGAGAGATTCTTTAACTCAGGGAGATGTTGGATTCGCCCACCATGGCAGGGCAGAAGAGCTAGAGATTTGAATTTGAAACTTCATGTTGCCTGGGCAAAGTCCCCGCAGTTGCCAGTTCAACGGACTCAGGCCACAACTTCGTGGTGTGGTAGCAAGGCTCCTTACTTGCGGGATTGACAGGGCGCTGGGTGTGACGTCGAAGAAGTACGCCCAAAGATGTCAAGTTAGGGAACACTCCAGTTGTCACCAACTGTCGTTGCCACTATACTTACATGCAGCTTATGACTTATTCCACTATGCCACTAAACATGCAAAAACAGAAGACAGAACGCCTGCCCTGCTAGTGGAAACACAACACATGCTTTTCCACTGGTGTTCGTTCATTCCAAAAACGCCAGCCCTCCGAACACGACGAGTTCGCGCTCGCTGCCCTGCTGTGTTCGCCAGCCGCACCGTCGGAAGTCCTAAGCCTCGAAGCGAATGGCCGACGCGAGTTCCGGGCGAAGAGGCCATGACCCACGTCGCCATGACCCACGTCGTGGGCGACGTGAGGAACCGGACGTCCCGAGTTCTTGAGGAAGCGATGAAAAACCCGGGGTCAACCAGGGTGACCCAGGTTGAAAGACCCACTGCCAAATATCTTTGTTCAAAGGGTACCCTGAAAAAGATGGGTTCCTCCACTACAGCGTCGCTTCGACAGGTTCCAGCAGCGGCAGAAGGAGCAACTTAGCCTGCAGCGTTCCTTTCTGTGACAGAAGAAGGGCTGAATGGTGCAAAAGCACTCCACCGTACCACGATCAGCCCAATATTCAGTATTGACTCTGACATCGTTTCAACAAACATCAAACAGAAGCATTGACTTTTCAAATTGCTACTCCCGACCACTCCACACCCTTTTGCGTTTGGATGATTTATTTGATTTATCCGGTTGGTGGAAGGTCCGCAGGCTGTGGAGGTTGTGATGGAAGCTGCCCCGTGGTTTTTGGCTTGATTTGAGAGACCCCCAACCAATGGGTTTGGGTCTATCCCCCTGTCAGGGGGTCGAACTGGGAGGCCTGCCAATTTTAAATCACACCCATTGGCTTGGTGCCAATGTTCTAAGTACGCGGACTGCATCTCGATTTCTTCCGACGAGTCAGACGAGTTGACCCATGGGCCGAGGCAACAAAATGCAGACGAGCAAGTGGACCAGCCAAAGTAGAAGACCTAACCTGCCATAGTTCTTTTGTTTGTGTCACGGCATGGCAGTGCAAAACAAGACATTTCAGAGCATTGGAAGAGACATGAAGAGACGGTGGCATTGAAATTGCGATTTCTTATACTACTCAGTAAACTTTGTTTGATCATGTTTGATCTAAATATGTTCTGGTGAGGGAAGACAGGATGTTTTCGGTTGGACTGAGGCAGCTGATTGTTCCTTGCCACCGTCACGACATCAAGCGCTCGAATGCCGTGCTCTCGATTGGAGACTTCACGCAAAGGCAAAAGAATTCAAAAGCAGTCACGCAAGACTTGAGACGCGAAGGCTTGCCGCTTGCCTGGCTAAAAACGCTTCTCTGTCAGTGTACTTTCCAATTTGTTGGGGGAGTATCTTTAGCCGTTCGCAATCCCCAATCGCCTGAAAATGCCTGAAAAACCGTGACCACGCTGGGTTTACCCACGCGGTGAAGAGTCGGAAGTTCCTGCCTGCCTCGACCAGCAGCGGTTTTTTTCATGGG